CTTCCCAGCCCTTCCCCGCCGCTCATTCTCCCGTCTCCTTGCAGGATCATGGAGTTCCTGCCGCCCTTCCAGCGCGTGCTGCAGCCCGAGGAGATGTGGCTCTACAAACATCCCTATGTGGAAGCGGATCACGTCCCCACGGTCTTCATGTTTGTGAGTTTAGCGGGTTCTTAACGTGGTTTGAGTCGGAAGGGAGCTTAAAGGATCGTGTTGTCCCTCCCTCCCCCTCCCTGCAGACCGAGCCCACATAATCTGTGAATAGTTCCGGGGATGGGGCATCCACAGCTGCTCCGGGCAGCCTGTGCCGGTGTTTCCTGCATTTACTTGGATTTATTCTCGAATTGCCAGTTCTCCTTTTAAAACAAAGCTGCTGGCTAAAAGCTTGTACTGCAATACAAGCTTGTACCTGCAGCTCCTAGTGCACGTTGCAGAAAGTGCAGGATATCGCATCCATGTGGATAAATGGCTGCGGGGAGGGGCTGTGAGGATGGATGGAGCCGAGCTCTGCTCAGAGGGACGAGAGGCTCAAGCTGGAGCATTTCCACCTGAACAGGAGGAGGAACTTTGCTGTGTGGGTGACTGAGCAGTGACACAGGCTGTCCAGACAGTGGGAGTCTCCTTAGCTGGAGATACTCCTAATCCACCTGGACACAGTCCTGGGTGATGTGCTCTGAGGACCCTGAGCAGGATGGTCCCCAGTGATCCCTTTCTGTGAGATCTGTACCAACCAGGCCGAACACACAGTGATTTTTGTCATATTTTGAGGCTTTACCATCCGTTGCTGTTGGGATTTGAAGTTCATAAACTGATCAGGACTTTGCACTGCTGTCCATAATCCACTCCACGTCTCACTTAGCGGGTGTGTGGAAGATAGCACAGCTCTTGCTATCAGGGCATGTTTTCCTTGCAAGCAGCTATTTATAGCAGGGATTTATCATCATTTTATTGTCAAATGTTTTCCCAATGGCTCTAGGCTTGTTTAGAAGAGTTTGACTAAGTCTGTGTTGGAGTTCTAGGAGAGAGCAGTGTGTCAGAGGGATTGATTTGTCACTGGTGTGAGGTGAAGGGCTGTTGGTAAATCCAGGTGGGGTTTCCTGCAAGAGGGGGTCACTAAACATAAGGACAAAACCTTGGGGTAGCATTTGGAACAGGCAGTGTAAACGTGTAAAGCAGGACATGTGCCAGGTGGGAACAGACTCCATGGGAGCCTGGCAGTGCTGAGGATGTCCCGGGGTGCAGTCCCCCAGGGCAGAGATGGGGATGATGAGAACTGCCTGCTCTGAATCAGCAGCTGCCGAGGTTTTGCTGACAGAGCGAGGGTGCTGCTGACTGAGCGCTAATGCTGGGGCTTGCAGGGAGGGCAGAGCTGAGGTGCTGTGCCTGGGGACACCCCAGCAAGCAGCCAGAGCAGCACTCTGCCAGAAGAGCTGTCTGACAACCAAAGGACACGCTGGGTTCATCAGGGCCTGCTGCAAATCCAGCTGGAGGGGTTGTGTTCTGATTGCTGAGAACAGATTGCTGCTGGGCTTTGGGGAAGGGAGTGCACTCAGAGTCTTGGGTAAGTGCTCTTGTGCTCTGGTGAGAACTTAAACCTGCTTTACTGACCTAAAATTCTCCCTGTGTCGTGCAGTTCATCGCATTTCTGTCTCCCTTGTTGCTCATCGTCCTGGCGAGGCTGTGCATGGGCGCTGACCACGAGGACACGAGGGAAGCCTGCCTTGGTGAGCTCCTCCTTGTTCAGGGAAAGGCAGCCTGAGCCCTGCCCGTGCCTGAACAGGCTGCACTCCCAGGTGGGGACAACGCTGATGTGACCCTTCTGCTCTCTCCCAGCCGCCAGCCTTGCTCTTGCCCTGAACGGGGTTTTCACAAACGCCCTGAAGCTCGTGGTGGGGAGGTGAGGACTGGCTGCTTCCCAGCGCTGTGGGGGAGGCAGCTCTGCTGTGGGAACGTTGGAAGGAGCTGGGGTTGTTTATCCTGGAGAAGAGGAAGCTCAGAGGTGCCCTTATTGCTCTCTGCAACTTCCTGAAGGGAGCTTGGAGACAGGTGGGGTCGGTCTCTGACACAACCAGAGGATGCAGCCTCGAGCTACAGCAGGGAAGGAATCCCAGAATCACAGAGTCACAGAATGATGAGGTTGGAAGAGGCCTCTAAGATCACTGAGTCCAGCCTGTGCCCTGACATCTCACCCAGACCATAGCACCCAGTGCCATGTCCAGGCTTTTTTTAAACACATCCAGAGGTGGTGATTGTACCACCTTATCTGGAAGAACATTCCAGTACTTTATTATTCTTTTGGTGAAAAATTTCTTCCTAATATCCAACTTATTGTTCTCTTCCACCGGACAGCGCTGACAGAACCAGAGGACACAGTCTCCAGCTACATCAGGGAAGGTATAGGTTGGATATTAGGAAAAACTTTTTCACCAAAAGAATAATAAAGCACTGGAATGCTCTTCCCAGGCAGGTGGTGGAATCACCATCTCTGGATGTGTTTATAAAAAGCCTGGACATGGCACTTGGTGCTATGGTCTGGGTGAGGTGTTGGGGCACAGGTTGGACTGGATGATCTCAGAGGTCTCTTCCAACCTCATCATTCTGAGATTCTGTGATAGCCACATCAGGGCCAGGAGCTGAACTTGGACATGCTCAGCCTGGAAAGAATGTGGTTTTTTTCTAGCTGCAAAGACAATTTAGAAATAGAAAAAACACTGTGTGGAGACTCTGAGGTGGGGGGCATTCCTTGGTCTAGGGAGACACAAGAAGCTACCCTCAAAAAGCTCTTAGACCCCATTGGCTCCTTCCCCTGTTCCTATGTCTGTTCCTGCGTCCCCTATTCCCTGATCAGCCCTCACCTTTGTGAGAGCAGGGACAGCCCCCAGGCCCCTGTAGGGAGAAAGCTGCAGGGTGCTTTGTGTGTGTGTGGGTGCTGGGACCTGAACACCTCACTGTGGGTATTATTTGCATAATATCCACACATAAAACATCTGTG